TTATAGAAATCCTATCGCATAATTTTCATGCTACATGTATAAAATAGGGGTGGGAATCTGCAGTGACCATCCGAAATAATATAATATCGATATTTGTTGGCTGATTTGATATGTCATCGCAATTTTAAAACATATGTTGCCAAAAACACATTTCAGGTCAACATTTAAAGTAAAGACAAGGGCTATGATGGTACACATTTGTATTGTGCTTCTCAGTTACAGCATTTTCATTTTGGAATGCTGAATGAAACAAATTAAAACATTTTTTGACCCGGGTGAAACCTAAATTCACAAGTAGATGTACAGCATGGAAAACATTATGCTAATTGTGGCTTTGAGTTGGTTACAGCTAGTGCTAGAGAGCTCAAAGATCCTCCCACATCACTTAAATCAGCAGTTTGGGCACATTTTGGCTTCCCAATAAATTACACCAATGACAGAGAGAGTAGTTGATAAGACTGTCTGTCAGCTCTGTCATTCCAAAGTCGAAACAGATTCAACATGCTAACTCCAGCTAATTTTAGAGTCGTCGATGCTTGACAAATGCCTGTCAGATATCCAGCAGGCTAAATATTTGGAACTGTCGGAAACTCCAAATCCTGTAGCGTGAAAAGTGTTGCGACTGGTAATGAGTGCGGCGATGAGCTACAGCCAATGAAAGCAACTGCCGATGAGTGCGGCAACAAGCTACAGCCAATGAGAGCGACAGGCGATGAGTGCTGCAACAAGCTACAGCCAAAGAAAGAGCAAGACATAGGGTGAAATGAAACCTGAGGGAGTATTTTAAAAAAGGTGTATATAGTTCAGTTTGTTCTTAGTGTTCAGGGAATAGAGGTATTCAGTGAAAGTTTACTTTTCACACACTAGCGTTTAGTTAGCTATAGTTAGCATTAGTTACGGCAGTCTCAGCACACGCTTACTCATTCATGGTAGCACCGTGCCAAACTCGTGCTTGTCAGTCCCTTAACAAAATCTGCCTGTGTGCAACTGGTCAAATATATTAGCAGTACCAAACGTGAACAAAATAAAAAATTGATTTCTAAACATCAGTTTAAACATGGGTTACTGAAATTAACTCTCACGGCGATACTACAATCGCCACCTTGAAGAATAGCAATCAGTTCTACTCCCCCAGACCCACAGCTTTGGTCATTCCTGGAACTCCACTTGTGTGCTTCTGAGGAACACAGCAAGATTTGTCCATGTCCTTCTTCCCTGCAGGCCGTGTTCTGGGCTCTGGAGCTTTTGGGAAGGTGGTTGAGGGGATGGCGTACGGCCTCAGCCGCTCACAGCCCGTGATGAAGGTGGCCGTCAAGATGCTGAAGCGTAAGTCATTACCTGGCAGGGACTTTGGATTGTAGCTGAAAGTCGGCAGAGTAATAATGTTTGACCAAACTGCTCATATTCCTCTCTCAGCCACAGCAAGGTCCAGTGAGAAACAGGCCCTCATGTCTGAACTGAAGATCATGACTCATCTGGGGCCTCATCTGAACATTGTCAACCTACTGGGGGCCTGTACCAAGTCGGGTATGTAGCCTGGGTTGTGGCACTGACCTTGTAGAGAAGGGGCTCCTGCAGTTCTTTCTAGTGGAGCACATTTTACAGCTCACTGACGACCATAAGCCCAGGTCTGATCAGCCACCTCTGCCCTTGCTCTCTCAGGACCAATCTACATTATCACAGAGTACTGCTTCTATGGTGATTTGGTCAACTACCTCCACAAAAACAGAGACAGCTTCATTAGCCAGCACATCGACAAGTCCAAGAAAGAACTGGACATCTTTGGCATCAACCCGGCTGATGAGAATAGCAGGAGGTGAGTGGCAGGTCTGCTTTTTGGGCTCGACTTATTCCACTGAGGTTCTTAACACTGCACTGTTCTACACAGTAACTATCCCTATTCATACTGGTCCTCAAAGCCTTCAGGAATAAACACAATGCTATTCATTTTAATACTCAGCATTGCGTCTAACACAGCACCCATCTTCGTGCCCTTGTACAGCTACGTCATCCTGTCCTTCGAAAGCAAAGGGGACTACATGGACATGATGCAAGCCCATAATACCCAGTACGTCCCTATGCTGGAAATGAGCGACGCTTCAAAGTACTCTGACGTCTACGGATCCAACTATGACCACCCGCCTTCTCATAAGGACAAATCTCTGAGCGGTACGGATGACATCCCCCCCCTCCCCCTCCAGTGCTGTGGCCCTGATCCTGTCCTATAATTACACACTGGGTAATTGCAGCACACATGTTGCATTGGCTATCCACAGAGCCTTCACTAAGAAAGGCAGAATGGTCAGTCCTCTATATATATACTGAGGTCCGCTGGTTTGACGTTTTCTGCTCCAGATATGAGTCACGTGAGCTAAACATCTTGTGTTTCGCTGACCCCGCAGAGAGGGAAGCAAACAGCCTGCTGTCTGACGACTCCGACGACGGCCTGAGCACTATGGACCTGCTGAGTTTCACATACCAGGCGGCACGGGGGATGGAGTTCCTGGCCTCCAAGAACGTGAGTCCGCTGGCGACCAGGGGCTCTCGGCTAAAAAGCTGGAGGGCTTGACTGGTTGGAGGTTATTGTTGTCATGCTAAAGGACCCGAGTTTGTGCCTGTGTTCCATTCAGGAGTCTTTTCTGAAGGTTGTATGTGGCTCGTGGGCCAGAATACTGTGAACACGGTCGCTGACCCAGCTTCATCAAAAAACTTATGTTTCTTTGGAGAAAAATCATCTGCTAAATATGTAAAATGACTCCAATGCAGGGAGGCCCCTGTTATTTTATCGGGACGAGAGTGTAGGTGAATTGGCCAGTACGCAAAGCAGTGGTGACTCCGTGTTAGATTGAGTGTAATGTAATGACACAGGCAACAAGATGCATTAGAAGCCTGATGAAGTTGCCTGGCCAGACAGACAGTAGGTGCGGGGTTAAGGACCAGATACACAGCCAGTTATTGCTAGGGGAGGTAAGGGTGGGACAGCAAGTGCAGGGGAGGACTGGCATTATGTAAAGGGAGGGAGACGGCCTTGTTTATGGTCAAATAGCAGTACCCTCGCAGGCCCCGAGCTGAGGGCTTTAACTGCTGTGCTGTCTCTCAGTCCTGGGCTGCCCCGGTGCCCACAAAGATGATGGCAATAGGTTCCTCCCATCTGAGAAAATGACAGCCCAGGCGTCCAAGTCTGGGGTCACATGGCTGTTAAATCAGGGGTTAGGCAATAATCAGCACTGGAGAAGTCTGGACAGGCAGAAGAGAGGCCTGTAAATAGGACTGAGGCTTAAATTACACGGTGCCACAGAGCAGCGCGGCTCATTCTTGCGGCAGACCTGTTACCCTGTTTCTCTGATTTTTTCCAGAAGGAATTTTAAGGTCTCAGCAAGGAGATTGTAGCTTGTTTCTTGACATTTGCTATCATGAAATGTTGTTAGTAAATCAAGTGCTTCTGCTTGCAGTGTGTGCATCGAGATTTAGCTGCAAGAAACGTCCTGCTTTCCCAAGGCAAGATCGTGAAGATCTGCGACTTCGGCCTGGCCAGGGACATAATGCACGACAACAACTACGTTTCCAAAGGCAGTGTGAGTATAGGAGGGCACTTTTCAGCAAGGCACAGGTCACATGACCACAATGTGCGTGCGGGGAGATCTCGTAGCAAGTGGAATACCATCAAAAAGAATAAAACTGATGGTTTGGGTTGAGGTAGAGCTTAAAGATGGGTGGAAACATAAAAGTCAATCATGAATCCTTGCACACTAAGAGCTTCAGCTCTCACACTGATCCATGTCTTTGACCTGCGAATCTCCCCAATGCTCCGCAGACCTTCTTGCCTGTGAAGTGGATGGCCCCCGAGAGCATCTTTGACAACCTGTACACCACAATGAGCGACGTCTGGTCCTACGGCATCCTGCTGTGGGAGATCTTCTCTCTGGGTATGTCAGACAG